AAGACCATCGGAAAACACATATTTCCGATGGTCTTAGGAACCGAGACACCGCTCCTCGCCGCCGCCGCCACCGCCGTCTCCAGGTGTGGGCGGGATGACATGCCGCCCCTGTCTTCTGGACACACCTCGAGATCAATCCTCGCCTGTGATTGGCCGCCGGCACTGTAGCTCAGGCACACAGGCGGCCAATCACCGGCAAGGAGGTGGAGCTTGGAGAGGAGGGGGGCCGAGCGGCACCGCGAAGATCGAGCGAGTGAAGAGGAGGAGAGCAGCCGGAGAAGGAAGACAGCTGACAGGTAAGTGTCGGTACCATGGGAGAGGGAGGGAGCGAGCGAGCCCAGGCTGGAGCAGGGGTCTGCAAGGTAAGTATCACTGGTGTCAGTGGGAATAGTGCCCCATCATTGGTGTCACTAATACCAATGATGGGGCACTATTCCTCCCACTGACACCAATGATGGGGCACTATTCCTCCCACTGACACCAACGATGGGGCACTATTCCTCCCCCCACTGACACCAACAATGAGGCACGATTCCTTCCCCAAATGACACCAACGATGGGGCACTATTCCTCCCCCCACTCACACCAACAATGAGGCACTATTCCTCCCCCACTGACACCAAGGATGGGGCATGATTCCTCCCCCCACTGACACCAACGATGGGGCACAATTCCTCCCCCCACTGACACCAACGATGGGGCACAATTCCTCCCCCCACTGACACCAACGATGGGGCACAATTCCTCCCCCCACTGACACCAACGATGGGGCACAATTCCTCCCCCCACTGACACCAAGGATGGGGCACTATTCCTCCCCCCACTGACACCAAGGATGGGGCACTATTCCTCCCCCCACTGACACCAAGGATGGGGCACTATTCCTCCCCCCACTGACACCAAGGATGGGGCACTATTCCTCCCCCCACTGACACCAAGGATGGGGCACTATTCCTCCCCCCACTGACACCAAGGATGGGGCACTATTCCTCCCCCCACTGACACCAAGGATGGGGCACTATTCCTCCCCCCACTGACACCAATGATGGGGCACTATTCCTCCCCCCACTGACACCAATGATGGGGCACTATTCCCCCCACTGACACCTATGATGGGGCATTATTCCTCCCCCCACTGACACCAAGGATGGGGCACTATTCCTCCCCCCCACTGACACCAAGGATGGGGCACTATTCCTCCCCCCACTGATACCAATGATGGGGCACTATTCCCCCCACTGACACCAATGATGGGGCACTATTCCCCCCACTGACACCTATGATGGGGCACTATTCCTCCTCCCACTGACACCTATGATGGGGCACTATTCCTCCCACTGATACCGATGATGAGGCACTATTCCTCCCACTGATACCAATGATGAGGCACTATTCCTCCCACTGATACCAATGACGAGGCACTATTCCTCCCACTGACACCAATGACGGGGCACTATTCCTCCCACTGACACCAATGACAGGGCACTATTCCTCCCACTGACACCAATGACGGGGCACTATTCCTACCACTGATACCAATGACGGGGCACTATTCCCCCCACTGACACCTATGACGGGGCACTATTCCTCCCCCCACTGACACCTATGACGGGGCACTATTCCTCCCCCCACTGACACCAACGATGGGGCACAATTCCTCCCCCCACTGACACCAACGATGGGGCACAATTCCTCCCCCCACTGACACCAACGATGGGGCACAATTCCTCCCCCCACTGACACCAAGGATGGAGCACAATTCCTCCCCCCACTGACACCAAGGATGGGGCACTATTCCTCCCCCCACTGACACCAAGGATGGGGCACTATTCCTCCCCCCACTGACACCAAGGATGGGGCACTATTCCTCCCCCCACTGACACCAAGGATGGGGCACTATTCCTCCCCCACTGACACCAATGATGGGGCACTATTCCTCCCCCCACTGACACCAAGGATGGGGCACTATTCCTCCCCTCACTGACACCAAGGATGGGGCACTATTCCTCCCCCCACTGACACCAAGGATGGGGCACTATTCCTCCCCCCACTGACACCAAGGATGGGGCACTATTCCTCCCCCCACTGATACCAATGATGGGGCACTATTCCCCCCACTGACACCAATGATGGGGCACTATTCCCCCCACTGACACCAATGATGGGGCACTATTCCCCCCACTGACACCAATGATGGGGCACTATTCCCCCCACTGACACCAATGATGGGGCACTATTCCCCCCACTGACACCTATGATGGGGCACTATTCCTCCTCCCACTGACACCGATGATGAGGCACTATTCCTCCCACTGATACCAATGATGAGGCACTATTCCTCCCACTGATACCAATGATGAGGCACTATTCCTCCCACTGACACCAATGACGGGGCACTATTCCTCCCACTGACACCAATGACGGGGCACTATTCCTCCCACTGACACCAATGACGGGGCACTATTCCTACCACTGATACCAATGACGGGGCACTATTCCCCCCACTGACACCTATGATGGGGCACTATTCCTCCCCCCACTGACACCTATGACGGGGCACTATTCCTCCCCCCACTGACACCAATGACGGGGCACTATTCCTCCTCCCACTGACACCTATGACGGGGCACTATTCCTCCTCCCACTGATACCAATGACGGGGCACTATTCCTCCCACTGATACCAATGACGGGGCACTATTCCTCCCACTGACACCAATGATGGGGACACTATTCCTCCCACTGACACCAATGATGGGGCACTATTCCTCCCACTGACAGCAATGATGGGGCACTATTCCTCCCACTGACACCAATGACGGGGCACTATTCCTCCCACTGACACCAATGACGGGGCACTATTCCTCCCACTGACACCAATGACGGGGCACTATTCCTCCCACTGACACCAATGACGTGGCACTATTCCTCCTACTGCAAAATTACAGTTATGAAGTAGCAACGAAAATAATTTTATGGTTGGGGGTCACCACAACATGAGGAACTGTATTAAGGGGTCGCGGCGTTAGAAAGGTTGAGAACCACTGCTTTAAATGGTCTTTCAGTCTGGTTCAGTTGGAATCACAATCATGGGAAAGACTGCTGACCTGACAGTTGTGCAGAAAACCATCATTGACACCCTCCATAAGGAGGGAGAGCCTCAAAAGGTAATTGCAAAAGAAGTTGGATGTTCCCAAAGTGCTATATCAAAGCACATTAGTAGAAAGTTATGTGGAAGGGAAAAGTGGAAGAAAAAAGATGCACAAGCAGCAGGGATGACCGCAGCCTGGAGAGGATTGTCAGGAAAAGGCCATTCAAAAGTGTTGGGGACTTTCACAAGGAGTGGACTGAGGCTGGAGTCAGTGCATCAAGAGTCACCACACACAGACGGATCCCGGACATGGGCTTCAAATGTCGTATTCCTCTTGTCAAGCCGCTCCTGAACAACAAACAACATTGGAAGCGTCTTACCTAGCTTAAAAAAAAACAGACCTGGTCTGTTGCTCAGTGGTCCAAAGTCCCCTTTTCTGATGAGAGCAACTTTTGCATTTCATTTGGAAACAAAGGACCCAGAGTATGGAGAAAGAATGGAAAGGCACACACTGCAAGATGCTTGAAGTCCAGTGTGAAGTTTCCACAGTCTGTGTTGATTTGGGGAGCCATGTCATCTGCTGGTGTTGGTCCACTGTGCTTCATTAAGTCCAGGGTCAACGCAGCCGTCTACCAGGAGATTTTGGAGCACTTCATGCTTCCTTCCGCAGACGAGCTTTATGGGGATGCTGACTCCATTTTCCAGCAGGACTTGGCACCTGGGATTACTGTGCTTGATTGGCCAGCAAATTCGCCCGACCTGAACCCCATAGAGAATCTATGGGGCATTGCCAAGAGAAAGATGAGAGACATGAGACCGAACAATGCAGAAGAGCTGAAGGCCGCTATTGAAGCATCCTGGTCTTCAATAACACCTCAGTAGTGCCAGAGGCTGATAGCTTCCATGCCACGCCGCATTGAGGCAGTAATTGCTGCAAAAGGGGCCCAAACCAAGTGCTGAGTACATATGCATGCTTCTACTTTTCAGAGGTCTGATATTGTTCTATGTACAATCCTTGTTTTATTGATTGCATATAATATTCTAATTTTCTGAGATTGTGGATTTGGGGTTTTCATGAGCTGTAAGCCATAATCATCACAATTATGACAAATCACGACTTGAACTATCTTGCTTTGCATGTAATGAGTCTATCTCATATATTAGTTTCACCTTTTAAGTTGCATTACTGAAATAAATGAACTTTTGCACGATATTCTAATTTTTCGAGTTTCACCTGTATATGTCACCCTGAGGAAAGGATCTGAAACATCAGTTACTTCTGATTCTTGTGATACTATCTACACACAGTGAAGTGTGTGAAACACAAAACTGTAGCACTAGTGAATTTACATTCTTCCATTTGATTTCTGCATTGTGCCATCTGTGGCATTCACTACAAGTATGCCAAATGATGTTATATAATGTTCCCCTGGGCTATAATTGGATCTGCTGTTTATTTGCTTCATTGTCTCAGGATGCATGTGCGTGCTGACATATATTTAAGTCCGACGCCATTACATCATGTACGTGCCATCAGCATGACATCATCATGTTTATGCATGCGTGATGTCATTGCACTAAAGCAGAAAGCTAAAACTGCCACCCTCTAGTGTTCCTTTTTTTATACTGCAACCACTATTGAACGCACCAAATCTAAGAACATATTTTTCCATATAAAAGCTACATTTTCTCTTCATTAGAGGGGAAAAGATCAAACATGTCAACTATATTAACACAATCTTTGCTCTCCATGTCCAACCATTTATTACTAGAGATGAGCGAAGAAATGAAAAATTCGATTCGACTGATTTCGGCTGATCGGCGAATTCGTGGACAATATTCGATTCGAGTCGAATAAATTCGCTGTGAATTTAACTTAAAAAAGGGTGTTTCTAGGCTTCAGAGAGACTTAATATTAGTGCAGAACACTGTACCTTTAATTTAAATGCCCTTGGAGTCTGCTGGGGAAGAGAAATAATACTGTCACTCAGTATGACATGCAGATGAGTGCCGTCGATCTTAGAATCACCGCACACTTCACTCATTTGGCCAGTCACGGGGCCAAAACCAGTGTTTGGAGCCACAGTGTGGCGGTGGAGGCAGCAGCAATGGGAGGCCATACAGCAACCTATGACAAAATGGAAACCAGCAGGAGTGTGAGGAGACCTGAAAGTGGCACATGGCAGAGTGGGAGCAATGGGAGGCGGTACAAGGACCCATGTCACACTGTGGACCCAGCAGCAGCGTGACCAGGCGGTACGGGGGCCCATGGCAGATTACAGGCCTGGCAGCAGCAATGGGAGGCCCATAATCTGCCAGGATCCCAATGACAAAAAATGTAACACACCAGCAGTGTGTGAGGAGACCTGAAAGTGGCACATGGCAGAGTGTGGCGATGGAGACAGCAGCAATGGGAGGCCGTACAGGGACCCATGAGAGACTCTGGACCTGGCAGCAGCATGAGGAGGCGGTATAGGGGCCCATGGCAGATTAGGGGCCTGGCAGCAGCTATAGGAGGCCCGTAATCTGCCAGCACCCTATGACAAAAAATTGAACACACCAGCAGTGTGTGAGGAGACCTGAAAGTGGCACATGGCAGAGTGTGGCGATGGAGACAGCAGCAATGGGAGGCCGTACAGGGACCCATGAGAGACTCTGGACCTGGCAGCAGCATGAGGAGGCGGTATAGGGGGGCCCATGGCAGATTAGGGGCCTGGCAGCAGCTATAGGAGGCCCGTGATCTGCCAGCACCCTATGTCAAAAAATTCTACACACCAGCAGTGTGAGGAGACCTGAAAGTGGCACATGGCAGAGTGTGGCGATGGAGACAGCAGCAATGGGAGGCCGTACAGGGACGCATGAGAGACTCTGGACCTGGCAGCAGCATGAGGAGGCGGTATATAGGGGCCCATGGCAGATTAGGGGCCTGGCAGCAGCTATGTGAGGCCCGTAATCTGCCAGCACCCTATGACAAAAAATGTAACACACCAGCAGTGTGAGGAGACCTGAAAGTGGCACATGGCAGAGTGTGGCGATGGAGACAGCAGCAATGGGAGGCCGTACAGGGACCCATGACAGACTCTGGACCTGGCAGCAGCATGAGGAGGCGGTATATAGGGGCCTATGGCAGATTAGGGGCCTGGCAGCAGCTATAGGAGGCCCGTAATCTGCCAGCACCCTATGTCAAAAAATTCTAACACACCAGCAGTGTGAGGAGACCTGAAAGTGGCACATGGCAGAGTGTGGCGATGGAGACAGCAGCAATGGGAGGCCGTACAGGGACCCATGAGAGACTCTGGACCTGGCAGCAGCATGAGGAGGCGGTATATAGGGGCCCATGGCAGATTAGGGGCCTGGCAGCAGCTATGTGAGGCCCGTAATCTGCCAGCACCCTATGACAAAAAATGTAACACACCAGCAGTGTGAGGAGACCTGAAAGTGGCACATGGCAGAGTGTGGCGATGGAGACAGCAGCAATGGGAGGCCGTACAGGGACCCATGACAGACTCTGGACCTGGCAGCAGCATGAGGAGGCGGTATATAGGGGCCTATGGCAGATTAGGGGCCTGGCAGCAGCTATAGGAGGCCCGTAATCTGCCAGCACCCTATGTCAAAAAAATTCTACACACCAGCAGTGTGAGGAGACCTGAAAGTGGCACATGGCAGAGTGTGGCGATGGAGACAGCAGCAATGGGAGGCCGTACAGGGACCCATGAGAGACTCTGGACCTGGCAGCAGCATGAGGAGGCGGTATATAGGGGCCCATGGCAGATTAGGGGCCTGGCAGCAGCTATGGGAGGCCCGTAATCTGCCAGCACCCTATGTCAAAAAAAATATCAACACACCAGCAGTGTGTGAGGAGACCTGAAAGTGGCACATGGCAGAGTGTGGCGATGGAGACAACCCACCGACTGTTTTGCTCGCTGCCAAGCTGCCACCCTCTTCTCCTGATGATGCGGAAGCAATAGCCTGATGACGACGAGGCTGCCAAGTGCGATCAGCCTCATCATCATCAATTAGGGTCTCCGCCTCACTACTAGCCCCCTCGGCTGCGTGTGGGTCAGGAGACAGACCTGTCTCTAGACCGGCTACCGAGCCACTCTCCTCGCCACTACTTCTTCGCCTGGCTGCTGAAGAGGCGGATGTCTCCCCCCGTTCCTGACCGCCCTCTGTTAGCTCTTCCTCACTGTACTGGATGACACCCGGGAGCACTAGCCTCTGGCTGCGAATAGTGCTGCCTCGACCCCTTCCCTCTGCTGCCACGTCTGCTCGCTCCTAAAACATTGCCTTCTCTGCCACTCCTCCTGCATGTTGTCTGACATACTCTTTAATTAAACGATTCTGTGTCCCTGAGTAACAATTCTGTGTCCCTGAGTAACGTTTCTGTGGCCCTAAGTAACATTTCTGTGGCCCTCAGTAACAATTCTGTCTGTCCCTGAGTAACAATTCTGTGTCTGTCCCTGAGTAACAATTCTGTGTCCCTCAGTAAAAATTCTGTGTCCCTCAGTAACAATTCTGTGTCTGTGCGAGTAACAATTCTGTGGCCCTAAGTAACAGTTCTGTGGCCCTCAGTAACAGTTCTGTGTCCCTGAGTAACAATTCTGTGTCTGTGCGAGTAACAATTCTGTGGCCCTAAGTAACAGTTCTGTGGCCCCTCAGTAACAATTCTGTGGCCCTAAGTAACGGTTCTGTGGCCCTCAGTAACAATTCTGTGTCCCTGTGTAACAATTCTGTGTCTGTGCGAGTAGTAACAATTCTGTGGCCCTAAGTAACAGTTCTGTGGCCCTCAGTAACAATTCTGTGTCTGTGCGAGTAACAATTCTGTGTCTGTGCGAGTAACAATTCTGTGGCCCTAAGTAACAGTTCTGTGGCCCTCAGTAACAATTCTGTGTCTGTGCGAGTAACAATTCTGTGTCTGTGCGAGTAACAATTCTGTGGCCCTAAGTAACAGTTCTGTGGCCCTCAGTAACAATTCTGTGTCTGTGCGAGTAACAATTCTGTGTCTGTGCGAGTAACAATTCTGTGGCCCTAAGTAACAGTTCTGTGGCCCTCAGTAACAGTTCTGTGTCCCTGAGTAACAATTCTGTGTCTGTGTGAGTAACAATTCTGTGGCCCTAAGTAACAGTTCTGTGGCCCTCAGTAACAATTCTGTGTCCCTGATTAACGTTTCTGTGGCCCCAAGTAACGGTTCTGTGGCCCTCAGTAACAATTATGTGTCCCTGATTAACGTTTATGTGGCCCTAAGTAACGGTTCTGTGGCCCTCAGTAACAATTCTGTGTCCCTGAGTAACAATTCTGTGTCTGTGCGAGTAACAATTCTGTGGCCCTAAGTAACAGTTCTGTGGCCCTCAGTAACAATTCTGTGTCTGTGCGAGTAACAATTCTGTGTCTGTGCGAGTAACAATTCTGTGGCCCTAAGTAACGGTTCTGTGGCCCTCAGTAACAATTCTGTGTCCCTGTGTAACAATTCTGTGTCTGTGCGAGTAACAATTCTGTGGCCCTAAGTAACAGTTCTGTGGCCCTCAGTAACAATTCTGTGTCTGTGCGAGTAACAATTCTGTGTCTGTGCGAGTAACAATTCTGTGGCCCTAAGTAACAGTTCTGTGGCCCTCAGTAACAGTTCTGTGTCCCTGAGTAACAATTCTGTGTCTGTGCGAGTAACAATTCTGTGGCCCTAAGTAACAGTTCTGTGGCCCTCAGTAACAATTCTGTGTCCCTGATTAACGTTTCTGTGGCCCCAAGTAACGGTTCTGTGGCCCTCAGTAACAATTCTGTGTCCCTGATTAACGTTTCTGTGGCCCCCAAGTAACGGTTCTGTGGCCCTCAGTAACAATTATGTGTCCCTGATTAACGTTTATGTGGCCCTAAGTAACGGTTCTGTGGCCCTCAGTAACAATTCTGTGTCCCTGAGTAACAATTCTGTGTCTGTGCGAGTAACAATTCTGTGGCCCTAAGTAACAGTTCTGTGGCCCTCAGTAACAATTTCTGTGTCTGTGCGAGTAACAATTCTGTGTCTGTGCGAGTAACAATTCTGTGGCCCTAAAATAACGGTTCTGTGGCCCTCAGTAACAATTCTGTGTCCCTGTGTAACAATTCTGTGTCTGTGCGAGTAACAATTCTGTGGCCCTAAGTAACAGTTCTGTGGCCCTCAGTAACAATTCTGTGTCTGTGCGAGTAACAATTCTGTGTCTGTGCGAGTAACAATTCTGTGGCCCTAAGTAACAGTTCTGTGGCCCTCAGTAACAATTCTGTGTCCCTGAGTAACAATTCTGTGTCTGTGCGAGTAAACAATTCTGTGGCCCTAAGTAACAGTTCTGTGTCCCTGTGTAACAATTCTGTGTCTGTGCGAGTAACAATTCTGTGGCCCTAAGTAACAGTTCTGTGGCCCTCAGTAACAATTCTGTGTCCCTGAGTAACAATTCTGTGTCTGTGCGAGTAACAATTCTGTGGCCTAAGTAACAGTTCTGTGGCCCTCAGTAACAATTCTGTGTCCCTGAGTAACAATTCTGTGTCTGTGCGAGTAACAATTCTGTGGCCCTAAGTAACAGTTCTGTGGCCCTCAGTAACAATTCTGTGTCTGTGCGAGTAACAATTCTGTGTCTGTGCGAGTAACAATTCTGTGGCCCTAAGTAACAGTTCTGTGGCCCTCAGTAACAATTCTGTGTCTGTGCGAGTAACAATTCTGTGTCTGTGCGAGTAACAATTCTGTGGCCCTAAGTAACAGTTCTGTGGCCCTCAGTAACAATTCTGTGTCCCTGAGTAACAATTCTGTGTCTGTGCGAGTAACAATTCTGTGGCCCTAAGTAACAGTTCTGTGGCCCTCAGTAACAATTCTGTGTCTGTGCGAGTAACAATTCTGTGGCCCTAAGTAACAGTTCTGTGGCCCTCAGTAACAATTCTGTGTCTGTGCGAGTAACAATTCTGTGTCTGTGCGAGTAACAATTCTGTGGCCCTAAGTAACAGTTCTGTGGCCCTCAGTAACAATTCTGTGTCTGTCCCTGAGTAACAATTCTGTGGCCCTAACTAAAGTTTCTGTGGCCCTAAGTAACAATTCTCTGGCACTCAGTAACAATTCTGTCTGTCCCTGAGTAACAATTCTGTGGCCCTAATAACGTTTCTGTGGCTCTAAGTAACAACTCTCTGGCACTCAGTAACAATTCTGTCTGTCCCTGAGTAACAATTCTGTGGCCCTAATAACGTTTCTGTGGCCCTAAGTAACAATTCTCTGGCACTCAGTAACAATTCTGTCTGTCCCTGAGTATGAAATTCTGTGGCCCTAACTAGCGTTTCTTTGTCCCTAAGTAACGATTCTGTGGCCCTAATTAACAATTCTGTGTCCCTGAGTAATAGTTCTCTGTCCCTAAGTATCGTTTCTCTGTCCCCAAGTATCGTTTCTGTGGCCCTAACTCTGTCCCTGTCCCTAATACAGAGCGGTCTGCCTCTGTTCAATGACTGCAGGCAAATGAAGAATTCCAAAATGGCCGCTATTTATAGCTCGACCATTACACAGTGCTAGCTGGCTGGCTGCTGATTGGCTGATGCGATCACATGTCGTTGAGGAATGCATTATGGGTCAGCGCGCCTTGTCTGCGCGCCTTCCCAGACATCCCCGCTCCGTCGCCGCACATGTCAGCCGCCATTTTCAGAAAAATTTCGATTCGCGCGTCCGAATTAGGCTATTTTTCGGATTCGGCGCGAATCGAAATTTTTCCGATATTCGACTCGAATTCCACTTCGGCTACTTCGATTCGCTCATCTCTATTTATTACCATTAAAAAAATGGGGTATACTGTAGGTGAAGCCTTCAATAATGCCCTTTGGACTCATGGAACCCAAAGCAAAGATCCACTGTGCTTTTCTCTGTAATATGCACTTATTCATGTCCCCTTTTCTTGGTCCTAATTTTATCATTTCAAGCCCCCAGAATTGCAGTTCATCCATTTTGCCACCATGTTTTTCCCACATGTGTTGTGGGATTTGTTTAACCTTCTTAAGAGCTATATTTCCAATATGCCCCTTAATGGTCACATAGAGTAAACTACATGGGCATCTTACCATGTACACCAATCCAGATGAGCTGCAGCTTAAGAAGGTATCAATTGTTATTTTTTCTATATTTGTAGAATTTACAAATTTGTTTGCAGTGGGCATGAATTCACAGGCTTTACAATGGCCACATTTATAGGAACCTTTTAATGGTCTTAGCAGCCAATTCCTACTCTGCTGTTTTCTTCCTACTGGTCTGTATTTTTCTTAAGATGATTGCGTACCTTTCTATGCCATAAATTTCTACCTCTATATGCCATATAATTACTGGTTTCTCTTCCAGGCATTCTTGCAGATCGTTGTCCTATGTCAGGATTGGCCTGATTATTGGCCCGATTATAGAAAATTCTCCAAATTCCAGTAACCCGGACTACATCTCTCCCATCCCCATTTTCTGTCTCTGTCAACAAGTGATCCCGGTTCTTGTTTTTTTTCCCTATAACAGGCTTTCTGGAGGACCTTTTTAGGATAGCTTCTTGCCTTATTTTTGTTCCAAAGGATATTACATTCATCTTTGAAATTCTAACTCGTGGTCTGGTGCAGCTCTGCACAGAAACCAATCAGCTTCCAGGTTTTTTTTTTTTGTCAAAGCTTAACTGAACAAGCTGAAGTTAGAAGCTGTTTGGCTACCATGCAGAGCTGCACCAGTTTTCCCCCCTTCAGTTTTAGTAAATCAACCTCAATATTTGCTTATCGCAAAGTACAGATTTAAAGTATAACTAAAGGCAAAAACTTATTTTTTTGAAGTTTTTGATAGAGTGGGGAGGGATTAGAATACCCGTCAGATTTTTTATTGCAGTCTTTGCACCCACTAGGGAGATTCACACTCTCTATTTGTCCTGTTTACTGTTATCACCAGGAGTAAAAGTGAGAGAAAATCTTCCAATGGGGACATTAGTTCTGTTGATTTTCATTTCCTGTTTTTGCTATGGGACAGGAAGTAAAGGGAAATCTCCCCAATGGGATACAGATGACAAAAAAAAAAACTAGCAACAGAGGTTATAGCCCTCCCTCTATCCATAGTGACAAAAATTACCTTTGTTTTATTTTAAACCGCTTCTCAACCGCCCTATAGTAGATATACTGCTACAGGGCGGTACGGTTGCGCAAAATCACATATATATATATATACATGATTTTGCATTTCCAGGTGTGGCTGTCAATCACCGGGTCCTGGCCAGTGATTACTCGGCAGCGCTTGGTGATTGCCAAGGATCTCTGACAGGGAGGAGAACTGTTTGTAAACAAAACAGTTCTCCCTGTCAACTTGTGCACACTGCTTTGGATGGCTGTGCCCAGAACAGGCATGCAAAGCACTGTGATTACAGCGAAGCACTAACACACAGCCCCATAGTAAAACACATCCAGCACACAGTTAACCCTTTGATCACCCCTCATGTTAACCTCTTCCTGTCCAGTGTCATTAGTACAGTGTCAGTGCTTTTTTTTTTTTAGCACTGATCACTGTATGGGTATTACTAGGGATGTCAGTGACACCAAGTCAGTTCCCCCCAGTGTCAGAATGCCCGCCGCAGTCCCATAGTCCTGCTATAAGTCGCCGCCATTACTAGTAAAAATTTTAAAAAAAATTCCAGTATCTATACCGCCATTTGTAAATGCTTTAACTTTCACGTAAACCAATTAATTTATTGGGATTTCTTTTATAGCAAAGACATGTAGCAGAATAAAGTTTGGCCTATATTTATAACAAAATTCAATTTTTTTATTTTTTTTACTGGACATGTTTAATAGCAAAAAGTCAAAAATATTGTTTTTTTTCTCAAAATTGTTGGTCTTTTTTTTTTTTTACAGCACAAAAAATAAAAAATGCACAGGCAATCAAATACCACCAAAAGAAAGCTAAATTTGTGGGGGAAAAAGGACGCAAATTTAATTTGGGTGCAGCCTTGCATGACTGCGCAATTGTCAGCTAATGTAACGCAACACCGTATCGCAAACAATGGCTTGGTCAGGAAGGGGGGTAAATCTTCAGGAGGGCAAGTGGTTAATGGCATAATAAAACTGCACTTTACAAGAGAAGAAGCCTTGGTTGGCCACGTCTATTTCACAAAGTAAGAGCAATTTTGGTTTGTCCCCGAAATTACCTGCTGACCCAAGTGTCAGCAGCAACATACACCTATACACATAGAAAGATATCCTAAGCTTTCAGCACAAGGATAACTTAATCTGAATATCTACCCAGTATGTCTTGGTATCTTCAGTGTGACCTTACATTCTCTAAAAACCTAACTGGAACACTAGCAACTACAGTACAACACTAACAACTTCACTTACTTGAGTATTTAGCAAACAGGCAGAAAACTGGGCACATATTTTTCTAGCCCTTGCCTAGTAATTCTGTAATGGATGATTGCCAATAGAAAATAAAATAAAGAGCACTCTGCTGCTGGTACCACTTTCACTGCTGCCAGATATTTTTATTGTGAGATGTGGTGGCATTGTAATAGATTGATTCATTTCATTTCATTCATTCACGAGTTCTCATTGGTATCACGTTCACTCAACATTTTTAGATTATGTATTTTTATTATTATTTTATTTTACATTATTTGATAGAAAAGCTTAGCATGAGACAATTAAAACACTATATTTTAATACACTTACAAACAGGTAACAGGCATCACATTGTCATTTAATGCATTATTAAACCCAAAACCAAAAATGTAACATATTGCAGATTACCAATCCTTAGATGTAGTGGCTACATTAGTTTTCCTTTTTAATGCTTTTTTTCCTCTCTGTTTTCACCTGGTGATCTGACCAGTAAAACATCTCCTGTATTAGAATGCCTACACTCTGGATGAAGGCACTCAAGGGCACCTTTGGACAGCATAATTTTCAGCCTGGGGGAAGGAAGTGTTAGATGGACTAGCAGATTTTGATACACTAACAAATTAAAGCCAGTCATCACAACAATTGTAAGCCCTGATCAGGCAGGTTTTTTACTGCAGGCATCTACTGCTGTCAACCTACGTAGATTGTTTATCAATATGCAAACACCAGCTGACAATATGGGTTCCAGAGCACTGTTATCTCTTGACGCAACTAAAGTGTTTGATAGTATAGAATGGGACTATCTGTGGAAGGTACTAGAAAGATGTGGATTCGCCGAGAAATTTCTTACCTGGGTAAAACTTCTATATCACTCCCCCTGTGCAGTTATCCATCAAGAAGGAGTGATTTCTCCAACATTTCAACTGGCCAGGGGTACCCGACAGGGATGCCCCCTCTCCCCACTATTGTTTGCACTGGCCATTGAGCCTTTGTCAGAGCACATTCAGACTAGTGAGGATGTAGTAGGCTTTCAATATAGTACCATTCACAAGAAATTATTGCTATATGCAGATGAGATTGTAAGCTCTAACGAGCAGGGTCAGCTGTTTCCTCTTGTACCAAATCGTACTGTAACTGTTATGTCTACCTTCATTTTGTAAAGCGCTGTGCAATCTGTTGGCACTATATATTCCTGTATAACAGCGTTTTTCAAATATTGTCTGCTGTGCCGTGGGAAAAATTCCAATTTCTGTGGCTTCGGCTCACAAATAGACCAATCATTAGAATCTAATGATTCAGTGGTAAAGCCGCGGCTCGCGAGCCACATGCGGCTCTTTACCCAGTCTAATGCGGCTCTTCTGTGTTGCTCCCCTCCCTCCTCTCGGTCGGCCGCTCCCCTGCCATCCTCTCGGTTGGCAGCCAAAAGTCCGCGCGGACCTTTTAATCCGGCTTGCGGATGTGGCTGTCAGGATGTGTGTAGGCGGGGCCATGAATGCCGAACTGTAGGCTCCTCTCACAGTCCGCCCTGAAGACCCGAACGGCGCGGGAAGACAGCGAGAGGAACGCAAAAAAAAGTAAGTTTTTGGCACTTACTAGAAGGGGGGGGGGGGAATAGTACTGTGGGGGATGCTATATGAGGGATGAATTACTTTATGAGGGATTATATGGGGGGATTACTATATGGGGGATGAATTACTATATCAGGGATGAATTACTATATGAGGGATGACTATATGGGGGGGATGAAATACTATATGGGGGATGAAATACTATATGGGGGGATGAATTACTATATGAGGGATGAAATACAATATGGGGGGATGAAATACTATATGAGGGATGAAATACTATATGGGGATGAATTACTATATGAGGGATGAATTACTGTATGAGGGATGAAATACTATATGGGGGGATGAAATACTATATGAGGGATGAAATACTATATGAGGGGATGAAATACTAATGGGGGGATGAAATACTATATGGGGGATGAAATACTATATGAGGGATGAAATACTATATGAGGGATGAAATACTATATGAGGGATAATTACTATATGAGGGATGAAATACTATATGGGGGGATGAAATACTATATGGGGGGATGAAATACTATATGGGGGGATGAAATACTATATGAGGGATGAATTACTATGGGGGATGAATTACTATATGGAGGATGAATTACTATATGGGGGATGAATTAATATGGGGGGATGAATTACTATGGGGATGAATTACTATGGGGGATGAATTACACTATGGGGGATGAATTACACTATGGGGGATGAATTACTATATGGGGGATGAATTACTATGGGGGATGAATTACTATATGGGGGATGAATTACTATATGGGGGATTAATTACTATGGGGGATGAATTACTATATGGGGGATTAATTACTATGGGGGATGAATTACTATGGGGATGAATTACTATATGGGGGATTAATTACTATGGGGGATGAATTACTATGGGGGATGAATTACTATATGAGGATGAATTACTATGGGGGAAATTACTATATGGGGGATTAATTACTATGGGGGATGAATTACTATATGGGGGATTAATTACTATGCTTACTATGGGGGAATATTACTATACTTTACTATGGATGACACATACACATCATTCATCTACTCTTGGTCCGGCCCCCGGGTCCAATTATAAAATACTTTATTATTTCATAATAAAGTAATTATAAAATAATTTCTTTGTGTTTGACTATTCAAGAGAATTACTTTATATATATAGTCAATATAGGCACAGAGGTAAATTTTTTTAACATTTTCTAATGGTGGTGTGCCTCGTGATTTTTTTCATGAAAAAAGTGTGCCTTTGCACAAAAAAGGTTGAAAAACACTGCTGTATAATAATAATAATAATGACATACTGCTTTTGCTTGGCAATACAGGCCCATCCCTAAGAACAGCCATGAATATACTGTAATTTCTCAATTTGCAGAATACTCAGGGCTAATAATTAACTGGTCTAGGTTAGCCCTGCTACCCCTGGATGGGGTTACGGATCCGGCAATATCTACCTTCTGCCCAGTTTTGATAATGACCTAAGTACTTAGGCATTCTAATTAGCTCTAACTTTTTAGAGTACTAAATATAGCCCAGTTGCTGACCCTGTTTAAAGACTAGGTGAAGATATGGTTCTAGCTGTCTTTGGCAGGCAGAGCGAACCTTATAAAAATTATGCTTATGCTCCAACTGCTGTACTTTCTTCACAACTCACCAGCAATGGTCCCACTGAAAACTTTCTTGATCAGAAATACTATTTTTCACTCCTTGCTCTGGGGAGACCATTCACAAAGGATAAGGCTAGAACAGTTACAGCGCCCTAAAGATAGAGGGGGGATAGCTCTGCCCAATCCTTGGCTGTATCACTTGGCTAGCCAACTGCAATGTCTGTATAAAGGTCTGGCTGAAAGAGACACCACCTATGCCCCAGCTGATGGCTCCACGCTATAAGTGATGTTACACTGTACAGCCTCTAGTTCATTACTGGAAGGTCTTGAGGGTCAGTCCTTTTGTAAACCTAACAAGTCATTCCCCACCTACCGACTAATACATAAAATGTGGGTCAAGGTCAAGCAACTGCAGCAGGTTACAGGCCACACCACATATAGTCCCATATGGAATAATGCGTCGTCACCGGAATTGGCCAAGAAACAATATGCCACCAAGTGGAAATCCTATGGGGTAACTCACACACACACTCACATTTGACAATAGTCAACTCATACCTAAATTATGTACTATGGGGCTACGGCAGGACCCTCTTTGTGGTAGATGCAAACGGGACCATGGGGATTTTATCTACATAATATGGTGTTGCCTGAAACTTCATTGATACTGGGAGGGAGTAATCAACACTCTTAATTCAGTGTTTCAATCTACCCTAATTCTACACCCTAAACAATGCCTTTTGTGAATTTTAGATAGTGTTACCCAAGATACATTTCTACTAGAAGTCCTCTCTAAGACCCTGTTTCATGCATGCAAGGCCATTCTTGTACGTTTAAAATCGGAAATTCCCCCCGAATATAGAGGATTGGAGACAGAATATGGGAACCATTTTACGATATGATCATTTAATTTACCAACATCGTGGGTACCAGGTAAATTTGACAAACTTTGGTAAGCATGGCTGGCCACTCTGGGTCTTGCCCCATTTGATTTGGTAACAAATTAAAACCAAACTCCAACTACTACCTTACAAGCAGC